TATATATATAATTTTGGTTTATGCTAGTTTTTTTTCATGCTATTATAGTTTATACATTTTGACATACATCTATTGCCTAGAATTAAAAAAAAAAAGAAAATATCAAATTTTCATAGGCATGTTTTCTCAGCATGGTAATTGAGCTATCAAGCATTTTCTCCTTGGCGCCGTCTGTGAACTCAATGCTGCAAGTGTTCTCTACTTAATCCGCTAGTTTTCATTCCCAGGGACTGCAACTTTCTGCATCCCAACAACCTTCATTATTGTGAGCTCCTGTTGTCATGATCTCCCCAAGTGATGCCTCTTTTTAATGCAAAAACAAAAAAAGGTTATGCCTATTTATTTTGCTGCTGCAATAAATTTTTAATTTACAACCTCTGCTATGTGATCTTTCCTGCCACTGGAATCTACCTAATTTGAAGCGGCACCCTCTCTTACACAACTCCACTATCCTCCAAAAAATGCAACATATGTTAGTCTATCACCTAGGGAAAATAAAAAAACCGCCATCAAATCTAATGAAGTCGAACTCACATCAATTACTAGGAGATCCACAGCAGATCACACCTATTTACATGTTCACCAAGATACAAGCTTCGAAACTCGAAACAATCAAATACGCTGCATCGCACAAGAACAAGTCAAGGCATTACATTTGTAATCAAAACCACTCAAACATCACCCATTTCACCAAACAAATTATGTGATGCTGAAGTTAACCAATAACGGCGGTAAAATCAAATATTGTTGTTGAACCAAATAGGAAATTACAACCGGCCAACTGAAATAAGAAATTACAACAAACACGACATATAGAAAATCTGAAATTGCAATAAATGACAACACAAACTCAACTAACGTAGATCTTGAGGTGCGAGGGTTTGGAAGGTGGTGGTATGTTAGATGAGGTGGTTGGGAAATAGAAAACAGCAAGGCAACGGTTTTTTAGGTTCCGGACAGCAAGCGAACAGCAATGGCAGCGAGGATGAAAGGCTGTTTAGGGGTGCTTACGGCAAGGAGAAGGGTTTTTCTGGAAGGCCGTCGGAAGGGAGGAGTGCAGGGTTTGGCAGGCGGTGGCAAGGTGGACTTCAGGAAAATAGCCAAGGAGGGTTGTTTCTGGGCACCGACAGCAGATACAGCGACGGCGTCGGCAAGGAGAAGG